CAATATCCATATCGAATTCATTAGGATTCGCTTATTACTATTATCTTATAAAATAATTTATTCATTTTTAATATATTTAGGCTTATAATACTTTGTATCAAATAAACCTGGTTTAAACCAAATAAATCTAGTTTAAACCAATAAACCTGTTTTTTTTAAACCTTGGTTTTTGCCTACCCTGCATTTCAGGGTTTTTTGTCTAATATAATTGTTATTTTTAGCTATCCATTTTAATATTTCATTGATTTTTTCAGGGATTTCAAATCATTTTATATCATATTAGACAATGGAACTCCGAACTGATGAAATTCACCATGAAACATTGTCAATCACCTTCAAATAAGCCAAAATTCTTTTCACGATTGTATATACTTCCTGATAAAAGTTGATAGTGGATAGTCACCATCTCTCTTTATCGTTCGCGCATCACAGAGGCACAGCTATACTCTGTCCAACCAAGCATCGGAGTGCTCCAAAACATTGTCATGCATAGTGCACATGGTCTCCCAGACAAGGCTGCTTGCACAGAGTCGCACTAAGGAACGACCGATTTTTTTTCAATATGCGGCTGGGTATAGAAAAATTTTTAGGTTGAGTGTAGGGACAGCCTTATCAGTACTTGATACTTTGGAAATTTCAAGCTTTAAAATACCTCGACACTGTAACTATTAATTCCGCCAGCCGATTGCAGTTAAATCTGATTCGCCAGCGGGGAGGCTTGTTTATTTTATCTAATAGATGCAAATGTGCATGGTGATCATATTTCGATAACGCATATATCATTGTTTGAGTGGCTTTGTTGGATAGATATAGTTAAATTTGACAATCTATACTATGTAGGAAGGACTGCCTTGACCTTAACGACTTCTAGAGGACTGATGGCTGTGATACACTTTGTTATTTGATGAAAATCATTATCCACGGAAGAAATGCGAATTATGACTCGAAAATTCGTGTTTTTTTTTCTAAAAATAGAAAAAAAAAGACAAACACATTCACTGGTTTATTTATTTCAGGTAGGAGGGAGAAGCAAATGGCATTACAAGCAGCGATGTCATGAACCGTGCTATTTGCAAAATGTTCCAAAAGAAATAATCGGCAGTCCCGAACTAGTAAACTGTGCTGCAATGAACGGAGAGGGGGTATGCAAAGAGTGCAACTGCAATTTTCAGGTACACATGCATGTGTACTACATGACGGAAACGAAAGAAGTCAAAGAAAAGGATTCCAATATAGAGCAGAATATTAATTCTAAAGAAGAAGTAATGGATAACGTCAGAAAATTAATCGAGAATATGGAGACGAAAAAAGAAGAATTGGATAGTGAGCATCACATAATTATCAATACTTCTGCGAGATTCGCTCACTTTCTACAAAATAATGCGATCACACCGTTTAGCGATTCTTATAAAGAATACATAGAATATCTCATCAACCAGTGAGTACACTGCAATAATTCAATTGATTCAGAAATGAAATGTTTTCTGGGAAAATATTTTGGCTTTATACTGTCCATCTTTATACAGTTCATTCCTTTAATGTCCCCCCCTTTATTTTTTGAACGGGTTAACTTGAAAAATTGAAATTTGGGATAATGAAATTAATGCATAAATACTTTATTTTGAAGTGAAATTGACAGATGAAACTGAATGAAAAGCCTTATCAGTGGGTCTTGTGACATCTTTTTGAAGCTCCTGACAAATGCTTCACAACCCTAGAATATAATGGCAATATCTTCAACTACTACAAAATGGGGAAACTTTTAATAATTGCCTGAATACATTGATATTCAACCACATACTATGAAGTAATAAGCTTGAGGTCAAGTCAGAAGATGCTCGAAATGGCTGACCAGTCTGTAGGACCACGACGGCCAATCCAACGACCGAGAAAAGTAGTGTCCAAATAGTTTCTTACTTGTCTGGAGTGATGTGGTGGTGCTACATCTTGTTGGAATACAATATTCATATCGAATTCATTAGGATTCGCTTCAAAGATTTCAGTGATGAGAGGGTCAACAGTAGTTTCCAGTATATTCAAATACAGTTCCCCTGTTGAATTTTAATCAATAAATAGAGGTCCTACAATATGGTTTCCCAATATTCCTGCCCAAACGTTAATTTTTTCTGAATATTGGGTATGTGTTTCCCGGAAAACCTGAGGGTTGGTGTCACTCCAATAACGGCAATTTTGTCTGTGAACATTGCCGTTCAGAAAAAATGTACATTCGTCACTGAAACAAATATTGTGGAGATAGGTAGGATGCCTTGCAATAGTTTCCGTCATGATTTCGCAGAATT